TACCATTTATCCCCTTCTTTTATCCAACGACACTGTCTTCGACAGTGCCGATACACAAGTATGCTTCCCCAAATTGACGACGAGAACTGTTTCTGTACATCTTTCTTCTTAGAAGATAGGAGTAGTTGGGAATTGTGGTTTGAATGGTACTGTTCGTGACGCAAAGTACGAGCCGAGATACGGATTCCAGATCCCTGTTAAAGCTTTTACCTCGGCCTTTTTCGATGACAAGCTGCGCAACATAATAAGAGAATGTGATTAAGAAGCGTTCTAGACCTCTCGCAAAAACATCCCTTAGAAAAGTTCAAATTTCAGCTCGAAGCTCTGGCGTAAAGATCAAAATGCGTTTCAATTTGCAAGCGGTGCATTTGCAAAGTGTGTTCTTTATCACGCTAAACTCGTTCAAGTTAGAGATTACAGCAAGTCTGTAGACATAAACATAATTTGCACATCTTTTCAGATTTATCAGCACATTGCAGTAACATTACATCAGAGTTCAGTTCGGCAAATGCTCATTTGCATTGTTTGAGCAAATTTGTACAATCTGCCTGTACGCCGCGATAACATCCTTCGGCTGTCTGCGATGTGGCCTCAGTGAGGTACTTTTTGGCATTCTCCTGAATATGTTTCAAAAAATCAGGAGATAGGAAACTCTATAAAGCACCTTATCCCCTAGTGAGATGCAGCACATGCCCAAATAGTATAAAGTGGGCAGGTAAGTGGCACAAGCTCCATAAGACTGTAGGAAAATTGACTGTGCGCTTGAGATTGATGGCGCTGGCTCATTTCCAGTGGTGTTGAACACTATAGCCATAGCCTGTGGTAAAAAAGGACGATCTGGAGTGTACATACTATCTTCCTTACCTTCTTCTCTATCGAGTTTAGAGAACAAAATTCAAAGACCGTTCTACCTTTGACAAACAGTAAGATGTGATCATTTGGCTTCATTTCTAGTCCTTTGCTTGTATACGCCTGAAAAAAGATTTTCAATGTTTTCACAAATACAGGGTGTCCC